AAGAATTTGGCATTTTTTTTGCATTTATTCACCTTGCTTAAAAAAGGAACGCGCCTCATCTTGTGCCTTGCGCCTTTGGCGGAAAATGCCCCTTGCACTTTTTTTTGCACCTTGCGCTTTTAAAACACTGGTAATGAAGGTAGGAGGAGTAAGAGGAGGAGGTGGAGCAAGAATAGAAGGTGAAGACTCAACAAGAGTAGTAGAAGAGTGATTAGGGGACTAAACTAAGGTGGGAGTAAGAAGAGGGAGATCAAATAATTCAATGGAATGCTCCCCCTTAGGGGGAAGACTATAGAAAGGAACAGAGTTTGCAAAAATGACAACCATAGAAGAAAACCGAGTTTCATTGACAGAATTATAACAATAGCCCTTCTTTGTGGATTCATAACCCAAGAAAATGCATTTATGGGCTGTAGGTTTGAATTTATGCCTTTGAGATCCAAGGATGTGGACATAGTAACTACACCCAAAGACATGAAGAGGAAGAGAGAAAGATCACCACTATGAAAAAGGAGGCTGAAGAGAGACTTGAAACCCAAAACCTAGTAAGGCATATGATTGATTAGATAGGTGGCAGTACATCCCCCCAAAACATCATTGGAACTTGGGATATGAAGAGAATGCTCTAGGTGACTCTAACAATATGATGGTTTTTCCTTTTTGTACTCCGTTTTGTTGTAGAGTATAAGTATAGGAACTAGGTAAGAACAAATTCATGAAAATGTTGCACAATTTTTGGAATTTCATCATGAGAATGTATTAGATAAATCCAAGTATATTTGTAAAAATTGTCAATAAATAGTATGAAATACATATGGCCACCTAATGCAATAAATGATATGGCCCCCACACATTAGAATGAATAGTATGAAGAGGAAAAGATCTTTTGTTACTTAATGGATATGGATTTCTATAATGCTAGGAGAGTTCACATGACTCACAATGAAGACTAAACAAGCTTATTCCTTTTAAACTATTTTGGAAACAAATTCCTCAAAGTAGAAAAAGAAAGATGACCCAAACAAAGATTACATGACATGATTTGATTATCCAATTCTAATGAAATAGACTTCAAAGCAAATTGTTGAGGTTGTACTAAGCTATTTTCAGGCACATTTAGCAAGTATATCCCATTCGCCTCATGGCCAAGGTTCAAAATTTCGATACCTTACGCCCTGTATTGGGCGTATCCTATCATATCAGTGGCTTAACAATACACCCCTACAGGGGTCGTATTAGGGTCTGACCTGATTTAGGGGGTAGACCATCCTTAAACCGACCCCTCTGAACCAGTTTCAAAGAAAAAAAAGGAGAGAGAGCTTCAATACAGGCCAATACACTCCTACCGGCATATTGACCTGTATTGATATTTTGAACCTTGCTCATGGCCACTTTCAATATTCTTCCTAGACTTTAGGTCCTAAAAAACATAATAAATGGAAAAGAAAGTTATGATGCAATTCAAGGATTTTGTTAAGTTATTAATAGAAAGAAGATTAGTGTTAAGCTTGGAAACATGAAGGATAGAAGATGGGGTAAGGGAGTCTGAGGTCCTGATGTTTCCCTTGCCAGAAATAGGGGTAAGAGAACCATCAACAAGGGATATTGTCGCGACCTAACAGAAGTTGGTAAGAGTTAAAAAGGTTAGATATGTTGGTCATATGATTATAAGCACTGGAAGCTTTAGTTGTTGATGGACCATTTGGGAGGAAAGAAATGATAGAATATTTGAAAGTAAAGAAAAATGCAAGGAAGCTTTAGTTGAAACAATAACATTGAGGGTGGCACATTGGGTAAAAAGCTTGAAGCTGTTTTCAGCTTTTAAGGTCGAAGACTTTTTCAGGGTTTGGGGACTTATTGCTGCTTCATCATCTACAAGACGGCAGTTTTTTGAGACTTGGTCCCCTCCAAAAGATGGTTGGAAGAAGCTGAACTTTGATGGGAGTTGTGTGGGTAACCCAGGCCCTTCAGGTATTGGAGGGGCCATTAGAGATGAAAATGGATTTATTATTGCTCTGTACTCCAGTCCTGTGGAGGAGGGTGATGTGGCAAGGGCAGAGTTTCTAGCTGCAGCATATGGGGTTGAGAAGGTTAAAGAGTTGGGGATTAATAGAGTGATCATCGAGGGAGACTCGAAAACTGTGATAAAATGGTTGCAGAAAGGGGAAGGGGTGACATGGCAGTTGAAGAATGATTTCAGAAGATTTAAATGGATGTCAAGGAACATGTCAATCCAGGTGGGATGGGTTAGGAGATCTGCCAACAGTTTGACAGATAGCTTAGCAAAGCAAGGGGTTCAAAGAACATATATGTTTTGGGCACATTTGTAATTCTGTTCTGGGTCAGCTTACTAAGCTGATTTCTTTTGCAACTTCTTGTTGTATCCTAAAGCATTTTAATTAATGAAATTCTTTCAAAGTTATTGATCAATAAAAAGGGGTTCTATGATTATCTGAAATAGTTGCATGATTTGCAAAGGTGTGAATACTTGTGTGGGCAATGGTGGATGAAGAGGCATTACCTGAAGAGTTGGAAGCTGCAACTACGGATTCCATATGATCAATAAGTCCATATTTCTAAAGTTTTTCTTTTACAATTGCAAGTTACTCTATATCTGATTTCTCATCACAAGATCCTTTTCACCCTTTGGTATAGTAGCCACATTAGCATTCCCACTCTTCCCAGTCATTTTACTATTATTGTTGTTCCTAAATCTTACCAATAAAAGTTGTGGATGTAACTTCCAGAAAGTGTTCTTTGTATGCTTGGTCTTCATACACTATTCACATACCTCTTTCTTCTCATTGGCCCCCTTGGACTTCACCCCAGCATGCGAAGTGATCAATAGGTGGCCCTTGCAACTGTACTTGCTACCTATTCTCTTCACTACTAACCATTACAGATGCCTGAGATAGTGTCACCTCATCCTTTGTCAATATATCTATCTAATAATGTCATATTCAGGGTTGTGTCCAATAAGAAACTCAAAGACCTTGTTCCTCTCTACCTGCTTTCTATAAGTCTCAATATCTTTCATCCTTTTTCACACAATAGTTTCCTTCGCATCAATCTCCTGCTAAAGGGACTTCAACATAGAATAATACACAGCTATAGCCTATAGTTTTTCTCCCCCTTTCTTAGACCATTCACATCTTTCTTCAACTTGTAGGCTCTGGCCACATTCTATTTTCGAGAGCAAGTTTCTGTTACGTTGTCCCAGATTTCCTTAGTTGAATCCATCCACAACTAGTGCCGACTGATATGAGGTTGCATAGTGTAAACTAACCAACCAATAACACTATGATTTTCATGCATCCATTTCTCATAGGTGGAATCAGTATCCGTTGGATTCTTATTACTACCTGTAAGATAGCCCAACTTCCCTCTATTGCAAACATGAACCCACAGATTGTGAATAAGCAAGGTAGTTGGTTCCATTCAGCTTAATTGTAGTCACAGCATTTAGTTAAGTATCTAAAGACCTTGCTGGATCAACTCTAGACTCTGGTTATTTCATCACTACTCCAAACTGCTCCATTAATTTAACCTCTTAAACAATCTTTTGGAAACACAAACTGATTAAAGTAATCCAACACTACAGGTTTCCAGGCAGCAAAACACAAGAAACTAGAATTTTCACCAACCCTGCAATTTGGGAGAAGAGGAGAAAAGACAGCCACTTCTACCAGCCTTGTCAGAATCCTTCTTTACCTGAATCAATCTCCAAGAGCCAAACACTAAGCTGGATCAACCTCCTTGACCTTTAAGTTGATTCCTTCTCTAGCCAGCTAGAGTTCTTAGGCTGAATCTCCGATTACCTTCTTGGGCTTCAGGATAGGTTCTATATGTTTCCAAAAACCTCTACCAACCAGTCTTCAATCATCCAAAAACATTCAGCAATCCAACTCTCCATACACATCCAATGGAAGGGTTGTGTATGGGATTAAGAGAAAAAGCAAAAAGGTTGGGGTTGCTCTGATAAAAAGAAGAAAAACAGAAAGCAGAAAAAAGTATTTAATCAAAGAATAGTAAGAAGAAAATAAGAAAATATGCAGAACAAGAGGAAGAATAAAGTAAGAGAAGAAGGGAGAAAGAGATGAGAGTTTGATGATCTCTCTCCAGTCCCCTAATTAGTTTTCTTAACTCTAATGAATGAATGTATAATTACAAAAATACCCTTAATAAGGTGGTCAGCTCATAAACACATAAAATAAAGGTTAACAGGCCTGTATAATCAAAGAATATGAACAAACTACTTGTTGGATGTGACTCAAAGGTGGTAATTGGTTGGCTGCAGATAGTGAGAGAGTATTTTGGTCCTGTAGAAATGAACTCAAGAAATTAAGATGCACAAGTGTTTGGAACATACAAGTGAAAAGCAAATAGTTTGGCTGATGCATTATCCAAACAAAGGGTATCAAGAAATCGATTTTTTTTTGGGCTCAATTGTAATATACACTTTATGGGAAGAGATAGTAATGACCATGACCAATGAGCCTTGTAAATCTTTGTTATTTATATTTAATAAAATCGATTGTTAACTATAAAGAAACGGATATTTGATATATACTGGTGAAAATGAAGTTCTTGGTGAGAGGATGGCTGCTGAATAATGAAGAAGCTATGTGGACTTAACAGAGATGAAATTAAAAGCATTAAATGGATGACAAGGAGCATGACAGTTTCAGTACAATGTATACAGAGGTCAGCCAATTCAATGGTTGACTGATTAGCAAAAGAAGGGGTTACGAGGAATCATTTGTTTTGGGCCAAGTTGTAATCTGCATGATTGGAGAGAGGTGTAGGTCTATGTAAAATCTGAATGTACAATTGGATGGTTAGTTGAGGCTGACGTTCCTTCTGCTACTCATGTACTCTTTAATTCCTAGTAATCAATAATATTTTTACTGTTGCTGATAGAAAATGAGTTTTTTGTTTCCCTAATTGTTTTGCTTTATCAGTATTTTTGTATAGTTGAAATCGTTCCATTCCTATTGCAGGTAAACCTGAAGTATCAACTGTCACTTACAAAGTGGGTGAATGCATGCAAGAACTGAAAAAATTATGGAAGGAGTTTGAGTCATCCCAAGAAAATAAAACTGATGACAGCTCTCATAATGGTCCAACTCTGGAAATTCGAATACCGGCAGAATATGTTACTGCCACAAATCGCCAAGTAAGCACAAATTATGAAGTTTATATATCCAAGGGATCTTAGACTGATCATTAGAGTGATTGATTGTTTCATGTGGTTTATACCTTTGCTTGCTTAGGCTTTTAGTTGTTGCTGTTCTGTTTTTGCCCAGTTAATTAAGGGCATTGTGTCCTTAACAATTTATGCACATCCTTATGTCATGATATGGATGATCTTCAAATATTGCTAACCTGGCAGAAGAATTTATTTAAAATTTCCAATCAGTTGACTAATTGATAAGTAATTTAGGACTGCTTAAAACATGTTTGACAAGATGGCTGATAATAGTGTTTAGGCAATACTTGTACAAAATCTAGGGCTGCTAAAAGTTTATAGCTTATAAATTAGTTGTATATGTCTTGTCAATACTCGTATCATAGAGTACTGGTTTATAGACTGAAAGAATAAGGAGGATGCAAACTCATTTTTGTTCTTTCTTGGCTGAACTTGAGTCTTAATAACTAGTATGAATTAATTTTTTTTTTTTGACTTAAAACTCTTTGCAAGAAGATCAATCTCCCTGAATGCAAATCTATATTTCTAGGGTACTGAGCTTATTTGCTTAACCCAAGAAATGACCAAAAGTTAGTCTCCTACTACTTCCAATTCTCTAACTTCTAATTGTACTGCTAGTCTCAAGCCTTGTAAAAATGCCATACTTTCTGCCTGAACTGATTCTCCATAACCAATTGGTCCTGAGAACAGAGCCACAACTTCTCCTTGATGATTTCTAAAGACTCCCCATACTTGCCCCCCCCGGATTGACAAAAGAGCTGCTATCAATGTTCAGCTTCCTTTTATTTGGCTCCAGATGTTTCCATTCCATCTTGACAATTTCTTTATGTGTATCTTTTTGTGCAACTTCCCTCCAATTCCTTATCATGTCATTTGTAGAGACATCTTTGAAGATTTCCATTGTTTTTACCCAATGTGCATATATGACTCTTATGGTTTCAATCACTTTCTCTTTGGATTTACTCTTCTCATTGAAAATCCTTTGATTTCTTTCTTCCGAAATGGTCCATACCAAATCTGTTCTTGTTGCCCTCCACAAACATCTTCCCTTTTTTTTTTTCTGTTGCCTCAAGAAGTCGGAGTTGAACAATCTAACCACATCCTATTGGAGAGCCCATTTGCAACCAAAGAGTGAACAGAAGTATTCCCAAATACAAGACACTAAAGAGCAGGAGATTACCAAATGAGGAAGGGTCTCACCATTAGCCATACAAAGGATACACACATGAAGAGAGTGGCATTTATTTGGTCTTCTTTTTTGTAGCATGTCGCGGGTGTTAATCGTTTCAAGGAACACTTCCCAACAAAGAGTTTGCACTTTAGGGGGGATTGGGTTGCACCAAATTTCTTTCATCAGAAAAATCTCTCATAGGTTCTGAGCAGATAAGAAGGTTAAAAAAGGAAGCACAAGAGAGGCCATTAGGGGAGGGAGACTAAACTCTACTGTCCAAGGAGTTTGATCCTAGAAGAACCATTTCCAAGTTTGGAAGTGGGAGAATTAGGGAGTCACATTCATTGACCCTCAAACCCCTTCTGAAACCAAAGTTCCCATTTAAACCAAGTTCTGACGACAAGCCAAACTTGGAAATCAGCCTTATAGTTTGACAAGTGGACTATCTTCCCAAAATAAGACTTTGTTCCCACATCCCACATCAAAATGAATGAAATTAAGAAAGGTTGGCAATACCTCAAAAATTGCTTTCCACGGAAAGTTTGAAGCTACATGAGGTGCTAGTTTTGCATCCCAACCATTGTTGCTACATTGTTAATGCTTCCAATTAGTGGTGATCATTCTTGGCCCAACCTGGAAACCTAGCCTGACCCATCCTACAAATTTTTGGGCCTGGGCCAAGGTTTTTGTGTTCCCACATCAAGCCTGAAAAATTTTGGGCCGGGCTTGGGCCCAACACTTTAACCCCAACCCGGGCCCAACCTAGCCCGTAATATAATATAACATATATTTATATATTATAACATTATATTATATATATATATATAAGATATAAAGATGTTTATTATTTTGTAAAAGATATAAAAAAATTTAAGTTTTAACATATAAATAAATATTAATTAGTTGACACGTCAATATCTGTGAACACTTAGCCAACTCAAGTATGTAAGTTGTCCTCCTAGACAAGGCCTTATATAGATGAAGATGAGGCCTTCATTCTCATTGCCTAAGTTATAAAAATGTTTATTATTTTTATAAGATATAAAAAATTTAAGTTTTAACATATAAATAAATATTAATTAGTTGACACATGTCAATATCTGTGAACACTTGAGCCAACTCAAGTATGTAAATTGTCCTCCTAGAACAAGGCCTTGTATAGATGAAGATGAGGCCTTGATTCTCATTGCCTAAGCAATGTGGGAATTGGAAAAACACTCAATGGTAGCACTCACTATTTAGTGTTGTTCCAAGTCCCGCATTGCTCAAGAATGGGAATGAAGGCCTTGTCTTCATCTATAAAAGGGTAGGTAAGACAAGCCAAACCAAACCAACTATAAGAATTAAATGAGGCCCATGCCTATTTATGTGCATAGGCCCAAAGCTTAGCACCTTAGCCAAGCCCAATTTACCTTGGGCTTGTGCCATATTTTTTGCATATATTACATTTTATTTTATTTAATTTAAAATAAAAAATTGAAATGATTAAAGTTTTATTATTGGATGTCATAGGCCTAGAAAAGCTCGTAAGCATAGCTCGGGCCTGTATAGGGCTGGGCTTGGGCTTGCAAACTAGGACCGGGGTGCGAGCCAGGCCAGGCCTGGGCCTAGGTTAAAGCATTTATCATTAGTGCTAAATCTGGCTCGGCCCATGACACCCCTACTTCCAATGACCCTATGCCACAACCTATCTCCATTTGGGGAAAATGCCCAAAACCACTTTCCTAGAAGAGTTGTATTCCTCATAATCAGATTCCCTATGTCTAGTCCTCCTTGTTCCTTAGATGTACACACCTGTTCCCGTTTTATTGGATGATCTTTCTTTTCATCTCCTGGCTCCCACAAGAAGTCCTCATTATTTTTTCTAGTTGTCTTGCTATTTTTTTCGGAATTCTACAGGTGGACAAGTAATAGGTAGGCAAGTTGGCTAGAGTGGATCTGATCAAGGTGATTCCCCCCCATTAGAGATGTAGCTCATTTTCCACATGGCTAACTTTTTAGCAAATCTTTCTACAATTGGTTTCCAAAAGTTATCTATTCTCGGGTTTTCGCCCAGAGGCATATCAAGAAAATCTAGGGGCTAACATTTTACCTCACAACTTAGTATTCCCACCAATAGCCAGTTGTCTTCCTCTCCCATGTTGGCTCCTACCACATAACTCTTTTCCCAATTGACTTTTAAATTTGAAATCCTTTGGAAATGATTGACTAAAGATTTTAATTTCTTAAACTGAGCTCAGTATAGTCCTCACAAAAAATGGTTATATCATCTAAAAATTGCAAGTGAGTCACAACAACCTCGTTTCTATCTATCCTCTAACCTCTAAACTGGTCTTCTAGGTCAACCTAATAATCAACTTGCTTAACACCTAAGCCACAAGGGTGAATAGGAAGTAGTGTTAGGCGAGGCACTCCCAAAATGCCCTGAGGCGTATGCTAGAGGCGCTGACACCTCTAACTTTTTTCATGAGGCGTGCTAGAGGCGTACACCTCATGTGCCTCATGCACATCTTATATAAAAAGATAGAAAAAAAAAGAAAAAATAAAAAAAGGAAAGGAAAGGGAAAGAAAGGGAAGGGAAAGAAAAACAAAATCAAAAAAAGAGAAAAGGAAAGAAAAGAAAAGGGAAGGGAAAAAAAGATAAGGGGAAAGAAAGTGGTTTGTCCCCTGTCCCTTCGGCTGGGGGTCACTCGCCTCCACTTCGACAAGACCGCCTCCCCTTTCAACTAATGTTATACATCTTTATTCTTCTTAATATAAAAGATTTTTATTAAAAATAAAGAAAAAATGAGATCTCCCCTTCCTCCCCTTCCTCCTTTTAACCCCCCTCTTCTTAAGGAGGCTTACTCCTCCTTGTGTTCAGGAGGCTTACACCTCTTGCATTCTAAACTACGTCTCACGCCTCTAGGTAGTGGAACGCGTCGTGTCATGCCTCCGCGTTTTAAAACATTGATAGAAAGGAGAAATGGGATCTCCTTCCCTTAGACCTCTTTTAGGTGGGAAAAAATCTTTAGCTACTCCACTGATTAGTATTGAGAAATGTGCCGAACTAGTACATCCTTTGATCCACTTTCACCATTTCTCTTCTAGGCCAGTTTTTTCCAACAATCTCAAAAGAAAGGACCAATTAACTATTATCATAGGCTTTCTCTAGATCCAATTTGTAGATTAAACCTTCTTCTACTTGCTTTTGCTTTTCTGCCATACACTCATTTTCCACAATAATGTGGTTAATTATTTGTCTCCCTTCTATAAAGGCTCATTGATTTTGGGATATTACCAAAGGCAGAATACTCTTAAATCTTCCAGCCAGGACTTAAACAATGATTTTGTACAAGCTACACACAAGGCTTAGGGCCTATAATCCTTTGGAGTTTTGACTTCTTCCTTATTAGGCACTTGGGCAAGAAAGGTTGCATGTGCTCCTAGTGAAATTTCCCCCATATTATTGATAAAAAAATTTTCCCCCATATTGTGGAATTCAATAAAACCTCCATCAAATCAAATTTTATGATTTTCCAGTAGCCTTGATAGAAAGCCATATTGTGGAATTCATAATGTTTAACATAACATTTTTTTGATAAGTAATGTTTAACATCACATTAATGCAATTGGGGAAAAATAAGGAGATTAAGAGTTTACATGCTTGAATATGTTTAATATGTTATGTATTTTAATTTGAGATAATAGGTTTTTTAAGCATTTATTTTAAAATTTAAGTTTATACTTTTAATTAATATTGTGTTTAATATTTTAGTATTTTGTGCTGAGGGTTTTTGCTGTTATTGGATTGATTTCTCCCTTGATATCTTTATTTCTTTTTTTTCGTTTAATTAGTTAGCCGGGACCACAACTTATTTGTTAGAAGTTATTAGAGTAGCAGTTTTGTTTCTTTTTAGGTTGTGAGCACTGGCCACCCGATTAAGGGAATTTTTGTCTTTGTACACACTTTTTATTTAAAGCATAAAGTTATGAAACCATGAAAATTTGGGAGTTGCTCCAAATATGAAAAATTTGGCAGCACAATAGGTACAATGAAAATTTTACAAATTATTCATGACACATCATAAAATTATGAAACCATTTTCATTGTGCTTCAAATATGATTCAGGTCAAGTATAAGTGATCCCATTCAGAAAAATTCACATTTGAAAGTGTATGAGTCACTAAAATCAAATCTATATTATTTTTTTTTAATTTTCTTGGTATAAAATCAATAAAATATAGCAGATGAATTCGTCAGGCCTGCAACCTGCTCCAAAATAACCCTAAAATCAAAATGGGCTGCAGGTTGACTGTTCGACTACTGATGTCATCGATATGATGGTGATGTCCGTGGTGCTCCAGGAAGTGTGCAATCAATCTGCTCTAATATTTCAGAATAGAGGTTTAGAGTAAATCCATTGATTTTATTTTTCTAAACAGCAACTTATGCAACCAAATTCACACTTTTACATCTCACTTCAAGTCTTTTTCCCTATTCATTTCTACATTTATAGGGATAGTATATCTAGTGCTAAACTATAATCATAAGAAAATGGAAACCCTAATTGGATCTCACACCCTCATTGGACATACTTAAGGCCATGCTATATAATTCCAGTGTTCCCTATACAGACTTGCACCTCCAAGAAAGAGAAAAGCATGGTGTATTCTTCTAGCTACTAATACCTTAGCATTTTGAGAGTTGTTGCTAATGTCTAAAGGAATTAGTGTGATTCCTATTAGTGCGCTATTTGCAACTTTAACTCAATGATAGGAGGTGTTTTAAAGCTGATATTCTCCTTGGAATTCTTGCCCATAACAGATCTAAGTATGAGAAATTTTGTAATAAAAATAAAATGAATTACAGAGACCTTGGGTTTAAAGGTTATAAAATTTGTTCTTTTTGTTTGTTGTTCAACCAACAGTACTGGACTAGTAAATGTTCTTCCGAATATCTCTATTCTGAGTACTAATTTAATGTTCTTCCAAATATGTTGTAGAGTCTAACATATATATATTCAAATGTCTACTTTATATACTAATTTGGTTTTATATGTGCAGGTTAGAGGTGGCCAATTATGGGGGACAGATATTTACACAGATGATTCGGATCTTGTTGCTGGTAAGCAATTTTATGCAGAAGAATATAGAATATTTGGATGGTCTATAGGTTGCAAACTTGATAGCCTGCATTCTACTGATGGATCCAATATTGATCTTTTATGTGTGTTTGTCAGTTCTTATGCACACAGGATACTGTCGCCCAACAGCGTGCCCTCCTCCATCTGCCATTCATGAGTTACGGGCAACCATTCGAGTGCTACCGCCACAAGATTGTAAGTTCACAGATTTAAGTGCATCTCATAGTCTGTTTCCTACTTATTGAATTGAGGAAATGGTTTATTTGTGGGATTTATTCCTTGAAATTCCATAATTGGTAATTGCATTTAATTTTTATCGATATAGATTGTAGATCTATGTAGTGCAAATTTTTCATCATTTCTTTCTCTAGAAAAAATGCTAATTCCATGCATGTAAACCCGGTCCTGTTTTGTCATTTGGAAGTTTAAACCCTACATTGCAAGGGGTTTTCTACAACATGGATTGTTGACAATGGCAGATCATACCATGCATCGGTGCACATTGATCACAAATTATATTATTTATTGGATTCATTTCCATTAGTAGTTTTCGAAGGCAAAAACTTCAGAGCATAGTTGTCAAGGTTATACAACACCTAGGTGACAAGGTGTCCATTGGAGGATCACCTCATTTTAAGTGACTTTCTACTTTTTACTATTAGACAGTGTATTGTCTTAGCTCCAATCAGATTGATGTATAAATACATTTATTGTAAATGAATAAAAGTACATTATTGTTTTATGTTGATATTGGTATGTTTCTGTGAAATTACCCATTAAACTGGACACTTGTGAGACTCGTGTTAGCTTAGAATGTTCTTTGCCGTTGGATAGACTTAGGGAGTTTATTCTGCCAAGGTTGACACTGATGTGCAAAATATGTTTATGATATGTATATAGTAATGTTTTATGAAAATGCTTGCAAAAAGGTTTTAATTCTCGACATCCGAGTAGAGAGTGTTACATTGCACCTTGCAAGCTTGCAGGCAGGGGTGAGGTCCTTCTCTGTCGGGTGTTGTTTGATCATTATGGGCCGAGAGGTTAAGTGTAAGAGACCATTAAGGGCTGATTACCTAATGGGCTTTATCTAAGTCCATTATCCTTGGGTCTTCATAGGATGACTAAATTCAAGGATCATTTAAGTGTATGTTGGGCCCATATTGATCCCATAGTGATTTGCTCAAGGGTTCATTGCGTTTAGTAGTGAATTTGGCCAAGCTTTTTCGTAGAGACTAGGCCAAACTTATGTGGATTTATGTAAGGTCTTTGTGGGGTCCCACGCCATATAAATCAGGCCTAAGTTGGCCATGCAATACCCTTGGGTCGTGAGCCTTATAGCTGATGGGCCTGAGGCCTATAATTGATATGATTAATTAAGCTGGCACATGATAAGGAGGAATTTGGAGAGTCATCGGGAATCTCTGGTCCAAGGGACAAAGTTCAAAGCCACCCCAAGTGGGACAACCGAAGGTGGTGCCTCTTGTCTTGGCCACCAAGGAGGAAGCTGGAGAGTCATTGGAGGGGGCTGGTGTGGACCATCTAATTTTTAGGAGCTTTAATGGTCACAATTTGACCTTTGTGGTTATGCCTGCTTGTGGTGAAGTTCAAATTTTAAATTTTGAAAATATGGTGGAGACTTTGACTTTAGACCGTCTCAAGCTAGTGACTAAGGATTGTTTGAAAGAACTCTATGTGGTGCCTAATCCCATTGGGGAGAGAGACATTTGGCAAGGAGACAACCCAAGAGACATGAGATTGAAAGAAGGGGGCTTCTTGGTTTCAGGAAAAGAGGTTTAACTTTTTGGTGTCTCAATTAGCAGGTTGAATCAGAAAACCGCAGAGCAACCGCTCTCTTCTGGGAACCCAAATGGGCAAAGGCCGAAGGTAGCTAGTAAACCCAAAGGACTAGTCCACAGTCTGGATGCAAGTAGCCCGTTTCTCTTTGGTTTAAACTAGTTAAGCCATCTGTGTAAGAGAACTATTGTGAGCTCTATTTTTTTTTTTTGACATTTCCTAGAAACCATGCTTCTAAAGAAGGGGTTTCAGGAAAAGAGGTTTGACTTTTTGGTGTCTCAATTAGCAGGTTGAATCAGAAAATCCCAGAGCAACCGCTCTCTTCTAGGAACCCAAATGGGCAAAGGCCGAAGGCAGCTAGTAAACCCAAAGGACTAGTCCACAGTCTGGATGCAAGTAGCCCATTTCTCTTTGGTTTAAACTAGTTAAGCCATCTTATAGGTTTGGGAATTTCTCTATCTTGGTGGTGTTTGAGTTCTTAACAGGGAAATTTGTCAAGTTGCAAATGTCTATGGTCCAATGGAAGATGGGCAAAGAGGTGATTTCTAGGGGCAGTTGGTGGAGGCTAGAGGCTCACTTGGGTGCTTGGGCCCTAGGGAGAATTTTAATGTGTATTTATCCATTGAAGAAAAGAACATGAGAGGGTGCATAACTAGGGCAATAAGTATGTTTGTGTAGTTTATCAACAGTTTTGAGTTGATCGACCTTCCTCTAGTTGGGGGCCCAATGTACTTGGACAATAATTAAGTTTCTCCAACGTTGGTGAGACTGGACAAGTTCTTAATCTCTATAGGTTGGAATGAATGGTTTCCTGCTTCTATGCAGTTGGTTCTTCCTAAACCAATGTTTGACCATAGTCCACTCCAGTTTATTTGTGTTGAGCAAGAGAGAACCAAGGCTCCTTTCACACTTGAAAATGCTTGGTTTGAAGAGGAAGGATTCCTTTCCCTTATAGTTTCTACTTGGGAAAATATTCAGATTGAAGGCTCTAGCTCTTCATTCTTGCAAAAAAGATTGAGTGTAGTAAAAGAAAAGCTGAAAATTTGGAATTTGGAAAATAGGCTAATCTCTAAGACCAAGAAGAAATCTTGTCTAAGTGTGATTGAGGAAGTAGATAGAGCGGAAAAGTTAGGGCCTATCTTGAACGAAGAGAGATTGAAAAGAAGCTAGGTGAAGGCCACTTTCAATAGGCTGGCTTATAAAGATGAGATTAGATGGGGCAGGGGCAAAAGTTAATTGGTTAAAGGTGGGAGATAGGAAAACCATTTTTTTTTCCATAGAATGGCCAATGCCCGAAGCAAGGTCAACACAATTTGTAAGTTAGAGCATGAGGGTGTGCTAGGGGAAACTTTTACTAAAATTAAATCAATTGCAACTTCTTTCTGGAAAAACTTGTCCGAGGAGCCTTGGGCGGCCCCTCCCCTCTAATACCCCCTTCAAACAAATTACTGAGGAGCAAAAATCTTTCTTAGGATTGGATGGTTTGACAAATCTTTTCTTTGTTGAATGTTGGGATTTCACCAAGCAAGATGTGTTGAATGTCTTCTAGGATTTTCATAGAAATGCTTCGCTCCAAGAACCCCCGTTTTTGCTAATGTTGTTCATTCATTCATCCTAATAAAATATCTTCTTAAAAGGCAATTAAAATTATAAAATCATCTTTTTGTGGAAGGATTAAGAATTTAAGACCCTAACATGGACTTATTTGGGCTTGCCTCGAGGGGCTTGGTACAAACAAGACTTGTAGAATTAGGAATGCAATATGTCTTACATCGCATTAGCTATTTGAAGTAATGCACTTGAGGAAATAAAAAGATTGTGGGTTTTACATGCTTGAAAATGTTTTTTTATGTTTGATTTTTTTTTTTTAAATTTTCATCTGAATACGCTTTACATGTTATATTTATGTATTTTAATTTTAGATAATAGGTTTTTTAAAGCATTTATTTTAAATTTTAAGTTTATTTTTTTTAATATAATGTTTAATATTTTTTATGAATCTTTTTGAATTTTTCACAATTTTTTTAATTCTTTTACCTTTTTTTTTGCATTTTTGCACCTTGCTTCAAAAAGGTTTGTGCCTTGCCTCGCGCCTTGGGCACAATTTCCCCTTTGCACTTTTTTTTTTTTTTTTGCGCCTTGTGGCTAGCTTGAGGATCAAACTTCAAGCAATATATGGATTTGGTTTTTTACAAGTTATCCCAGAACTATGCCCTATTCACCCCTTGCCTAACCATTGCATCAGTTAGCACATCTGCATTTCTTTATGCCCAACTAAAACTTGCATTCATTTCAGTTTCCAATTTTCTCCACTCCTTCAAGTAGCTCCAAAATTTTCTTGGGCCTTATTTTATGTTGTAGCCATTACACCACAACCTCTGTTCCCCCTCCATTACTAGGTTCTGCAAACTTAATGTCCTTGCCATTCATAAACCTTGCAGTTCTGTTATCAACTCAGCCCTGATTGAGTTTTCTTCCTCCATTGGTCTAGAGAATATTGTGAAGCAATGTTTTAAAATGTGGCATGATGTGAGGATTCCACTACCCGGAGGAGGATGAGAGGAGGAATAGGAAGATAGAGTAGAAGATTACATATTTTAATTTTTTATAATAAAATTTGTTTATTATATTACAATGAACAAATTTGGAAGGTTTCACCCTCTGTATTATGTTAGTATATAATGGAGAGCATGATAAAATGGTTCCCCTAATTTTATCTATATCATTTTTATTATAAAAACTTTAAATGTAAGAGAATTTGAGGCATATGCCTTGTACACCTCAAGTTTCTATATGCCTCTAGGTGTATGCCTCTAGCACCTTTTTAAAAGACTGATGCCTAGATATTCCTGTTGTGGTCTCCAAAAGCACCTCACAGCAATTTAAAAGGCACGCCTAGGCGCACAAGCAAGGTGCATTTTAGGGTAGGCGCCTCGCCCAGGTCCTAGGCGCAGCCCTTTCAAAAGGCACATACCTGGTGCGCCTTGCGCCTCAACCCATGCATGCACCTTTTGAAAATTTGACACTTTTTGCTTTTTTTTTTTCAAGAACCCCCTATTTGGTAATGTTGTTCATTAATTCATCCTAATAAAATATCTTCTTAAAAAGCAATTAAAATTATAAAGTCATTATTTTTTTGTGCTAGAACTAAGAATTTAAGACCCTAATATGGACTTGTTTAGGCTTGCCTCGAGGGCCGTGGCACAAAGGCGGCTCGTAGAAGTAGGAATGCAATATGTTTAACATCACATTAGCTACTTGAAGTAATGCAATTGAGAAAAAAAGAGATTTTGGGTTTTGCATGCTTGAAAATGTTGTGTTTGATTTTATTTTTGAATTCTCATTTGAATATGCTTTACATGTTATGTTTATGTATTTTAATTTTAGATAATAGGTTTTTTAAAACATTTATTTTAAAATTTAAGTTTATATTTTTTATTAATATTATGTTTAATATTTTTTCATTTTTTTTATTTTTGTGCATTGCTTCAAAAAGGCATGCACCCCGCCTTGCAGCTTGTGCCTTGGGCGCAAGTTGATTCCTGTGCCTTTTTTGCACCTTGTGCTTTTAAAACACTGGCACCTCCTATGCTGGTTGCTCCAGAGTTTCCTATACTGCTTCCATCAAAGTTTAATTTGACTTCACCTTCTATTGGTGGAGCCCATGACATGGAGGCCACACTGCCATAAGGCAGAAGCACTGCTATCGCAGTCCAAGTTCTTAGTACATCTTAAATCGTAAATTCTTCAAAAGGTTTTGTTATTTTGATCCATTGAACAGCTTTGACTTGTATGCTTTCCCTGGCTCTTGGCCTTTGAAATATCTTTGGTTGCCACTAAATCCAAAGGGGCTTTTGAGATCCTGTAGTGGACAAATTTACCAAGAAATTGACTGTTTGAAAGATGAACTACATGTCCCTTGGAGGTAGAATAACAGACAGTAAGGCATTGGAGAGAGCCTGCTCACCACAGGAGTCTCTTCGAGGGAGACTCTGTCTCCTGAAATCAGAAAATAGGGAGAGAGAGAGAGAGAGAGAGAGAGAGAGAGAGAGAATCTGAAAATGGCTTGATGTTGGTTACCCCCTTTTCAGCCATACTGGGCCATCTTGCGAGGTCCCTGGGTATACACTTGTTTAATGGGCCTAAATGGGCCATTCACAGTTCTGTTATTATTAACAACTCCATCAAGCATCTGTTACTAATCCGGTAGTTCTACTTTGTTTTGGTTTTTTGTGCTTCAATTTAGGCCATCATGTTTTTTGAATAAACTTGGTGCGAAATCCAAGAAAACTCATTATTTGGCTCTAGAATTGAAACTTGCCATTTGGGCACCCAAAGCAACATAACTGGTTCTGATTCCCACAGGACTGATGACCAATCCATGCAAACAATAAAAAGGCCATTGTCCAATGTTGGTTTCAGGCCAATTTTTTTCCATTAAACTGAGTAATGGCCCCTAACCCATAAAACAATACAAAATGAAAAAAAAAGCCTCTGTGTATCTGGACTTACTAAGAGATTTAGAAAATCTCTTAGTAATAAACAACTTTCATTCATTGAAAAGGAGAAGAAAAAAACCCAACATCAATAAATACAGGTAATATTGAAAACAGATTAATTCATTGAAAAGATAAAAAATAAAAACAGATAATATCCACCCCAGGGCCTATTATCCCCTAAACAAAAATTCCTCAGTCACCCTTGCCTTAGAGAGTCTGCCAGGCCATTGGTAGAGCTTGGAATCCATGTGAATGAGCACTTAATGGACACCTATTACCAAGGCGTTAGGTTCTATTAACCAAGGTTTAAAATGTCAATGTCGATGGAAATGTCGCTTACCAAAACATAGGACATATGTCAGAAATGTCGGAAATGTCAAAGGGAAATATTGTAAAAATTAGAGACATTGTGGAAATATTATGAAATATGTGGAAATATGCAATGATATTTTGTAAAGTGATAAAATAAGCATTAATACATATTTATAGAATATTATTCTTATTCCCAACCATTATATAATGTTAAGAAACTAAGATCAATAACAAATAGAAATACATTTATTCTGATTTTTTAAATATTAAAGTTATAAT